AGGAAGTGGTAATAATAGTACTGGCAACTACGCGAAAAATGTTGACTGGCACGCCGGCGCAAAGTGCCGAACTATCATGGCGACCGTTGTTTTGTTTTGGAAATTGGTGAATTTCAGAGGCCAAAAAGTGGTGGAAAACGGCAGTTAATCGAAAAATGTATACGAAAAATATTGTTTGTTATGAGATTTTCTATAAGGTGAGTATAGTCTTAATCGGCAAAGCGGCAATCCTAGTACCAGATCACATCGTAAAGCATTACCACACCAACGTAAAATGATTAATAATAAATTATGTAAGGTTAGGGTACACAATAACACATGTTTAATACTGAAAGCAGTGAACTAGATATTCCAATAACTATCATTTCGTTACAGAAATAACGTAAATGCAGTATTAAAATAAGGAATAACATTAGTACTTCATGACAGTATTTAGCATGTCCAATAACTCTCTAGTTAGTAGCGTTTTTAGGCCCCTTAATTGCAACACGTTTTACGTTATCCGTTATTCTGAGCATGCCCATTAGTACAGAAATAACCGTTTACGTTATTAGAGGATAACGTGTTCTTTTATTTACGTACGAGTAGCGGAAACGTTAATAACAGCCCGTTAAAAAGCAGAGCGACGGTGTTGACATATTTGACTTATTTCTAATGTTATTAATAAAATACGCGGCTTTAATAGAATGAGAAATGTTTTGTAAATTTAAATAAGACTTTTTCATTGATTAATTTACGCCATTATCGCGTAATTACGGATTTTGGCAACACTACTAACAGCGCACGGACAGGTTCTAACTTCTGACCCTAAACCTAACTATTTGATTTTGAATTTTTATTTAATATGTTTCGAATATGTTCCTTCTGAAACTGAAATGAAGTGAGATTTATTTTATAAGAGGGCGACAAATGCGGTATTAAAAACGTAAAAACGCACTAAACGTTATTTGCCTGAACACCGTATTTTTTAACACTGCGCATGATCACAATAACGTTTAGCGTTTAAGGCCAACGTAATTTTAAGGGGCCTTAAAACTCTCTAATAGATAGTTTTTAATTTATCGTACAATATCGAACAAAAATACCAAAATACCCAGTACAATACAATTGCTCAAATTACCGTAGATGTACGGTAACTACCGTACGAATGGCCACCCTGCTCATGTTGTAGCCTTGTCAACGATCTTTGTTGTCAAAGTTTCACTCCAAAAACCAAAACAGACATCTATGAGCGCAGATTATTCACTAAAGTTTGTGAAAAACAAAATTTTCTCCCAATCTTGTTTCCCTAATCGCCCAATAATTAAAGATAATTTTTTTGTATCTTGACATTGCGTTAAAACGCTGGCTTATCGCGGTTATTGCATGATGCGATATCTCCTCCGGCTGTATTTAACATCATTTCAAAGTTTCACAATAAATTCATGCTGTTTCCGGAATAGATAGACTCAAGTATTTAAGTCAGTACTATTTTCTGTTGAACTAGCAGCGAGATTGTGATGGAGCCGCGAATTCTTTCCATTCAAAGCCATGTAGTGTCTGGCTACGTGGGCAATAAAAGCGCAGTTTTCCCCATGCAGGTAAGCCCCAGCTCGGGACTGAAGTAAAATGATTATCGCTCCCGTTAAAGCTTCTAGGTTTTGATGTCGACTTTGTTAATTCGGTGCAATTTTCCAATCACACCGGGTACAAGTCGGTGCAAGGCCAAGTGATCACCGAGAAGGAATTAAGTGCGCTGGTTGCAGGCTTGAAAAACAACGGCATTGACCAGTATAGTCACTTGCTTACCGGCTACATCGGATCTGCCGGCTTCTTGAAGGAAATAGTTGCTTTATATCAAGATTTGAAAGCAGTTAATCCCAACTTAGTATACGGTGAGTAACTAAAAATCAACGGTAATTTTGCCCATCTTTGAATAGGCGTTCTTGATTCATAGATTAAATATTGTTTTGGAATGCCTTTATTTGGCACTCAAAGTGGACTTATTTGTGCCTTTTTATAATCCATTCTCTATCAACAACTACTTTTTTGTTTACAAACAACAACCGTTGCTACTGGTATCTTGAACTTCAATTATTTTAACAGCACTAGCGATTAACGATTCCTTAACAAATATTATCACGGATTTTTTGCTGCTTCCAAACAGTTTCTGCAAAGGACTCAATTTATGCGATTTCTGGTCAAAATGGTGTCTCGACATGTATTACAATTTCCCACAATAACTTCATTGCAGTCGATTTAAATTACAAAACAAATTTATTCCTGGGTTTCAGGCATTTATTGTCTCTATTTATTAATCAAAATACGTTTCGCTATATTTTTCCACCATCATCAGTTTTTCTAAAATAACAGTTAAAAAAAAAATTCATTAATTTAAAAAACAACCACAGTTCGTTAACAGCCTCATCATATCACACACTAAAATACATCACAATTGCAATATTTTAAAACATTCTAAAAGGAGAGTTGAGTAATGTATTGGGAAAGTCACAATATTACATTAAAGACTCATGCAGATTTTGTGATTTTATAAAACAACAAAAAATACCAAAGAATCA